TGCCTCGCTTACCCTAAATACCAAATAATAGTTGCTATGTGAGCGCAACAGCCTACGTTTCGAGCTCCATTTTTGTAGGTACAATAGAAGGATTTTATAAGATTTTTCCTTCTCTGTTTTTGCTCAGGACGTAAATGTAGTATTTTGTTTTATTTCAATGTCTAGATTAAATCCTTTCTTTAAGAAATACTGTGACGAAAATTACAGTGCCCTGAAATATTTCACGTATAAACTATAGGCGATATTTTTACAAATGAAATGGGTTTCTGCCACTCTAATGTAACGCAATCGACTTTCTTGCTAACAAGGTATAAATAAATAAATAAACATGTTGGGACATTAACACACATCACCATCTAGTTCCATGGTAAGCTACGAGGCCTGTGTTATGGATACCAGATAGTTGATACACTACACGTATATAACTTTAATTATATACATATTATAAAAAAAGACACCCATGAGTGGAGTACAAACATTCGTGCTCGTCACACAAATGAATGCCCCCAGCGGGACTCGAACCCGCGACCGCTGGCACAGCAAGTACGGTCACTACAAACTGAGACAAACGTGTCATCATTGTAGTAGTTTCAAGTATGCCCACCAAATGCGCTCATAAGAATGATATATTATATATCCATATAGGCTATGCACTATCTAATGATATATGAACGACTTCGGGACTCATCTTGGTACAGAAACCATATTATCCGGGACACAGTTCTTTGGTATGACAACAGCTGGTCATCGATGGGTTAACATATATGTAGACTACTTTTTATTGCAGTAAAATATCTCATAACTTTTGAGACGTATACACCTTAGCCTCTCCCGTGATCATGTTTGCTAAAAGCTATCTAAACATTAGGAAAAAAAATCTAGACATTTGCACCTATAAAATAGGAACAAAGGGAAATCTATATATGAAATATTTTTTAAAAACAATGATTGTAACCTATTATGTACTTATACAATAATATAGACCACAAAACAATATTTGTTAAAAAAATTCACAGATCTTGTGTCTGCCACTGAATTAAATTTTTAACATATTGATTACTACCAAACAACCGATTTTGCCCGCGTTTAGACTACAAATAAGTATTTGGATGCATAAAAATATTATCTATACATATAATAAAACTGTAGAGGTCGTATGTTTGTACGTAGAAAAAATATGCTAAAAACCGAGTCAGGGGGATGTAAGAAGAGAAATAGAACAAGTCCAGATCTTTTCAAATTTTTTTCTCTGTCTGTCTGTTTGTACGGGCTAATCTCCGAAACTGTTGGACCGATTTAAATGAAATTTTGCATGGTGGTACCTTATATCCGGTCAGCATTTTAAATACTTTTCATCCCGGAACATTAAAGAGTTCAGGTGGGATAGTAAATAATCTATAGTAACTTATACAGCTTAGTACACAAAAACTACTGATTGGATTTTAATGACAGGCGAAGAAATTCGAAGAAGATACGCCTGTTAAACTAACTGGCAGTTAATCAAACTTAGAGTTAAGCTAACTGACAGTTAACCTGACTAGCCGTTAATCTAATTTACTGTTAATCAAACTGATTGTTAAACTTACTGACAGTTAAACTAACTGGAGGTTATACTAACTGACAGATAAGTTAACTGACAGTTAATCTTACTAACCATTAATCAAACTGACAGTTAATCTAACTGACAGTTAACGTTACTGACAGTTAATCTAACTGAAAGTTAACCTTACTGACAATAAATCAAATTGACAGTTAAACTTACTGGTAGTTAAAATAACTGATAGTTAAACGAACAGACAGTTAAACTTACTATAATTAAAATTGTCTGTATGTCTTTGTGCATTTCACGCAAAAAGTAGGCACTGAGCGCGAACCCGGGTCAATATTTAGGATACTTTTTAGTACAGGAAAATCTTTCATTACCACGGAAAAATACAATAACCGGTTCAGTGGAGCTAACGCTGGCTAAACCTCAAGAGATGCATCAAAACAATGTACTAGAAAATTGTAGGTCTTAAAAAGGCCTACAGAAAAATCCGCTATACCATAGGTATGTCTATCTCCTAAGGTACACTCGCAATAACTATTTATATCTATTTAAAACGAACCTTTGGACGAATCTGAGCGAAGCGGGGCTAAGTCGCTAATAGGCACAAAAACCATCTTTACTAATATTATAAAGAGGTAAAGATTGTGAGTTTGTGACGTTGTAGGGGGTAATCTCTCGATATACTGAGCCGATTTAGATGAAATTTGGTACGAAGATAGTATGAGACCCTGGGAAGGATATAGAATACTTTTTATCCCGGAAATCATTCTTTAAGGATGTGAAAATGGGGATGAAAGTTTGAATGGGGAATCAAGCTAGGGACGAACCCGAGCGAAGCGAGTGAGTCCTTAGTTACATATAAGCATGTTTTTGCTTTCCTTTCAACATTTCAATATTGCGAATCTACCTCCAACCACCAATTTTGTATAAGTACTTTTATTGTTTGTAGTTGGCCTTATTGTAGTTCTATTAATAGATTTAGGTCAACATTTCTATAGCTTAAATAGCATTCAAATAGAGGTATACGAGCCCTTTGTTATGTTTTAAATATATGTATACTTTGATGCATCCAGTGTAGATTCTGTGGGCGGAAGTACGTGGGAAGGTGACCTTTTAGCTTTCCTGACCTTTTCCTTTTGAACGCATATTAGTCGATTTTATATGTTGACTAAGTGCTTTCTTTGGTTTCGTTTTGTTATTTAACTAGCTACTCACCCTCGTTACGCTCGGGTTCATCCTTAGGTAGGTCTGTTAAGAGGTTAGGTTAGTATAGATTTTTTAGGGATGAGATATTTTGTGTAAGTGGAAAGTATTCTATACGTTGATCCGTATGACCAGCTATCATCATATCAAATTTCACCAAAATCTGTCCAGTAAGTTTGTCGTGATTTCCGGACACACATAAATTCTAAAAACTGTCGAACTCGGTCTCTGTATCGATAATAGTGACTATGTCAATAAGATTTTTCAAAAAATATTTAATGTACGATTCTACTAAAATAGAATTTTATTATATGTACTGATAGATAATGTTAATTTATTTTCCATATTATACAATATGAAGATCTGCTGTCTTCGCTAAACTAACGACTAGATTACAAAACATCGACCTAAATTACTTTCTATACTTTACTAAGAATTTTTACAATTGATTTTTAACAAAAAGTCATTCTGAAAGCACAGAAATGAAAAATCTCAGGTTTGAAGCTAAAACGCAGCATGATTAATATTACGTCATCAAATTTTGCAATGTTTATTAGTACATGAACATGACACAAAAGCCCGTGTGGGCGTCACGACCCCCAATGCGTGGGTTTTGTGCCTAACCTTTTGTGACCTCTTCATTTAAAAATATTATCTGGTTCCGTTATAAGAAGAAAAACATAATAAAACATCGATCAAAGAAGGACAAAAAATGTCCTCACCAATAAAGATATTTTTGTAAAAAAAATTTTTAAATACTCATAGTTGTATGTTTGAAAATTTTCGGAATTTACTCAAGTGATTTTTCAAATATTTACTATATCGAAATATTCTTTTAGGATGTGGTATGCTATTAGAAAATTGTTGTATGAAATTTTATCGTTGTATCGGAGAGCGTAGCCATCTTGAAAATATAAAAAAAAAGTTTTAGCCGCCATTAAAAAGGAGAAAATCAATGAATTCGTCTGTATTTTTTATTTCTTTGTTACCCAAGGGTAGTAAATATGCCACATATCTTTAAAAAAAAGTTTTCCTCTAAAGGTGTAATAAATATTTTAGGTGATTTTAGGGTCTATTTTTTATAACTGTTCATACTTCGCTTCGGTTTTGCCGATACGTTCCGAGTTAAAAACTTATTCGTTATAATCAATATAGTCATTCCAATCAGGTATGGACACACAGACAGGATATTTAACGATTATTTGTATTTTTGTATATATATCTAATTAATTATATTAAGATTTTCCGAAATACTTATCCTAGATAGTTTGAAACTACCGACAGAGAAATTATAGTTCGGTTTTTTAAGTATGTATTAAGTGAATTGATTAGGTATCCATAATAAAAGTAATTAATAAATATAAAAAAATATATACCTACTATATTAAAATTAAATATTAAAAATTCTTAAAACCTCTAGAAATTTGTCTCTGATATTTAATAATACACAAATTGATATTTTATTTATCAGTTAAATAAATCATACGCGAATCGCGTAACGCGATTACATCTATCGGCCATTTGTATTATCATATATCTTCATCTGGCCAGTTTTATATCTATATACCGTTTTTGCCCAACCAAAATCGATCCCGAAATGGGGGTTGACCTGATTTCTACCCCCCAACCCCTCCCACAATCCTTCACCTACGACCTTTAAAGAGCGCATGCGCGTTTCAGGCCCTAGGTATCCCAGAATTTGATTTTCAGTATTCAGTCTTCAGTCGACCATCGCTACGTGGCATTCGCTACTTAAATATATATTTATTGTGAAGACTAATAAATCTCCTTCATATATGAGACATATAATTCAGAAATATCGCGAATCTCCCTTCAAATTTATCAACGATCCTATAAGTCACATAGTTATCCGTTTTTCCACCAAAAATATCTCCTATAAATAGTGTTTAAAAGTCCTAAATCTAATATTACATAATTTACGAAATAACGGTTTGAAAGGTTTGTATAAAATTAAAATAATTACGTAGATTTGTATTTTATTTATACATATTATGTAGATGTAGATTTTGTTTGTCATTTTATTTTATTTTTCATTTACGTCACCGTTGAAAGCAAAAAATTCATTCTATTTAAACATAAAATTGTTATAATATTCCTTAAAAAAGACAGCCGTTCTTTCATTATCTGTACAAGATAAAAAAAAGTCTATGAAAGATAAGAATCCATAGATATTTTGTAGAATTAACATATTTCTTTTTCTTTACAGACATAAATTAAAAAGTTAGCAATGTCCAAGCTAACTTTGGACGGCTTTTTTTCCTACTGCAAGCAAATAGCAGAACACATCCAGTTGGTTCGTTCGTTAGCCGCCATTTTGTGATTATTGATTTCTGCCGCCATCTTGTTTCCTCTTTGTTCAGTTTGCATGTTACGTAATCCTGAAACGCCTTTGTCTTTGCATGCGCATTTGGATAGTTTTTTTTTTTAATAAGAACATTTATCAAATATTCACGCGTAATAATATAGTAAATTTACATTAAAAATGATTGGTCATAAATCAGAAAAAATTTACATTTCTTATTTCGTTTTGACTCGCGACTTTAGAACAATATTAAACATTCGAAACCACTTTATATTTCTTAATGGTAATAAAATTTAATAGCTCCTAATACGATTAAAATCAATTTTAATTTATGGAATTTTCCTGAAATACTAGATTTTTTAAAGCAGCCAACAATTTAAAAAAAATATTTTAAAACATTTTCCGTATGTCCAATGTAAAACCAGACATTTAATTGTTCTGGAGTTTGTGATTGTTCGGTTTAGTCTCAGAACCTACAGATTTGCATAAGGTTTTCATTAATTGAAATAGGGATTACTTACATTAGGTATACCCTATATCTTCATATTGATCATAATTTATGAGTATTTCGTTAAAAAAAATGCGAACCCGAGTGAAGCGACAGAAAATCTCTAGTTTCATTAATAAAATCCATTAAAAATCAAGGTTAGCGATGTATAATTAATTCTTAACTCGGATATTTAAATTACCTATAAATATAAATGTTTGTCACTATTCTTGTAAAATTAATGCTTCTAAAAGAGGCCATTTACATTTGAAGGAGTGCGGTTAGTGTACAATGAATTGTTACTACAAATTGTAGTTATTGTACGTCGAACGAAACAGTGTCAAACGAATTTTGTTACTTTTTTAACACATTATGAACGGTTGTTTTTGTGTAACAAAATATAAAAACGGTAAAGTCTTTTAGATATTTATATTATTTATATTGCCTTACAAAATAACATCAGCTGTAGTTAATATTATAAATTACATGGATGGAAAAATTTTAGGTTATAATTTCTCAGATTTCATAAGATTCGTTATAACAAAAGTGAAAAATTATAAAACTTAGCTCACGCAATATGGGGCAGAGCAATTAACTTCAAAATATCTTCAAGAGGGCAGACAGGTTGGGTCCTAGTATGACTTTACGTCACTAATATATCATTAAATAAATCGACTAATCAAAGCTTTTTGAATAATTGTTTTAAATTATAAAAAAGAAACATCTTTATCGTTATTAGATATAACGATATCAGTTTTTTTATTTAAAAAAATCCTTGATCCGAGTTCCGTTAAAATGTAATATATTTTTTAAATTTTGATTTTGGTATAAATAAAGTTCTTAAAAGCTTAAAAGTCGTGCGTTAGTTAGTCTCGGAGAAATAACTTACTATTGTGTACTGTGCTTTACGATGTTAAATTTCGTAACATCATTACTCATATTTGTTAAACATCAGTTTTGTTACAAATATTAAATGTACGTTTTTTCTGAGTAAGATCCTAACATATTTGTGAAAAAGTATAAAAACAAATCGGTAGTTGCAAAATAAATCAATGGTGCTAACTTAAGCTTTTATACGTTGCATAAATTATTTAAATTTTTTATTGATATCTGTATACAAAAAATACACAATTTTCTATATCCATCCTTTTCTTTGTCCATAGGGAGAAAGAATGGCGTCTCTGTCTGGGCAAAGCACTCCCAAGCTGACATCTGGAGTTGGCAACCTTTACTATGATTGTAAGTATACTAAAAAAAATACAGCACATTTTTAAATAACTGCAACCTAATACTTTCTTATATTTACGTGAAAAGTAGACTTACTACGAACACTTAAATTAAATATTTTTTTCGGATTTTTTCGTTTTTTTTTTCGCAATTTAATTTAGATTTTTTGTTATAAACATTTCCAATATTATACCTTCCGTGACCATTATTGCTAGAAAGCATTCAAAACACCGGAAACAAAAAAACCGGTGGAAAATACCTAAATAGACCAATTTAATTCAAACTGCAGTTTGACCGTTTTGTTCGTTTGTTTGTGCGTACATCGTATAAATGGCTAAACTTAATTCAAAGGATTTTTCTAGAAGCATTATCTAAAATAACTGTAATTCTATACTAATAATATAAGGCTGGCGAGCTTCTTATTGTCCCATTCTAACTTTAGAAGTGTGAGTGGGAGGATTAATAAAAAAATAATTGAACGAAAATTTGTACATAGTATGAAAATTATTTTGAAGAAATATATTTAATATTTTGAGATTTGAGATATTTTCCGTGCTATCTTTGTTTCTCTACACCATGGAAGTACAAACTTATATACCCCGTCCATACAATGAATATGGGTAAAGATTTTAATTTTGATTTTGGAATAACAAATTAGTATGTTAAAACAAAACATACATATGTTGTTTCTTACTACGGAACCGATAACTGGAACGACCAGTAATTTGAAGACCTTAATTTGCATTTTATAGTCCAAATTAAGAAAGGCTGTAAGGTTATCTATAGTAATCTATAGTAATATTATAAAGAGGTAAAGTTTGTGAGTTTGTGACGTTGTAGGGAGTAATCTCTTGATCTACTGAACCGATTTAGATGAAATTTGGTAAGAAGATAGTCTGAGACCCTGGGAGGGACATAGGATAGTTTTTATCCTGGAAATCATCCCTTAAGGGGGTGAAAATGGGGATGAAAGTTTATATTGGGAATCAAGCTAGGGACGAACCTGAGCGAAGTGAGGGTGAGTCGCGAGTAAATAATAATTATAATATCACACTTTGCATTCGTGCACACTTCGCACGGTGGACTTTCGAACTTGAAAGCGAAACGATTAAACAAATTTCGCTCAGTGGTCGTAATTCGGCTATAATGAAATATATAAGAATAGAATTTACTTATATCTATTTAGATATAAGTAAAGATATAAGGTTATTTAAACAAACTAACTACTTCTAGCATTTTTTTATTGATACTCGTCAATAGGTGATAAACAAAAAAAAAACAAAAAAGTCGGTTGACAAACAGAAGAGAAAAAGGGTGATTTGTCTTTGCCTATTTATACTTACAAGCGACTTACCACAGACATTAGTTATGACAGTGAAAGTCTTGTCAAAATCGGTCCAGCCATTTTGTAGATTAGCTGGAACAGAGACAGACAGACGAAACTTTATAAAAAAAATTTTTTCTTATAAATACTGTATATAATTTCGTATGTATTTAGTAAAAACTTAAAAAGCTTTTATTTTGACATTACAAACAGACACTTCAATTTTATTAATTTGTATAGATAGATGAATAATATAAACTACGCGAGTAGAGCCGCGGATAAAAGTTAATGATGTAATAAAATTTATAACAAAATTTTCCCGAAGTTACATATTTACGAACGAAATATAAATTCCCCTCTTCCGGGATTGAACCTACTACATCTACCGTTAAAAACAAAGCCACAGTAATACTTCAGTAGAAATTCGCATTACCATTTTCAATAATTCCGATCTACCCTCCAAATCCCTACGCCATTTCCGTCACACACACGCCCGCACTGGAAGTCGATAAGCTGTGCTGATTAGGATGAAACTCGATACTTGTAGTTAAATATATTTGGAACTAAAGTTTTATGGCCTACTTCATATTAATTTTAAACTGTAACTGTTCAAAAAAAAATCACATATTTTAACTATAAAAGTAAAAAAATCGACATAAAATATGGTAACCATTTGGAGAATAACACCCCTCTTTTTTGCGTCGGGGGTTAAAAATTGTATTATGCATATATATATATATATATATATATATATATATATATATATATATATATATATATATATATATATATATGTTTTAAACTTGCTGCGAGTCTTGCTACGCGTATTAGTGATGTAACGAATGTTCGGTTTTTCACATGCAATGCGAATGTTGACTTAATTTTATTTACAAATAGTTTAGTTAAGTATTCATTATTTTGTTTTTTTAATTGTTAAAAAAATATACAGTGGAATGGAAAAATATATAATTCAAGCTAAAGGTGAACATATTGGATATTAGAAGTTTAATTTTGATTCGAATATAATATAAAATATGTTTTTTTTAAATGTAAGGAAGGACTTTCTTTTATTTAGCTTAGTTGTGTTTTTTTTTATATTTAAATTAGACTAACAAGAACTAAAGACTCGTATTTCTAATTTAGTTGTCTACTTCGAGACTGTTCCATAATCATTTTTTTATTAAAATATTATAAGTAAATAAAAAATATATAAATCTTATCAGTTGTATTATCATTCCATATTCACCCGTTCCATATACTTATAATTTCCATTGTTTCTTGCGAATATGAATGCGAATGTCAAAAATTATGCGAATATTCGCTGATGCGAATGCGAATGAGAATATTCGTTACATCACTAACGTGTATGTATAATCCTCCTTTGGGCTCCGCAGCAGTCGGTTAAAAATCAATATGGTAATAAGGATCTCAGGCGCCGACTTTTAACAAGAAGAGACAAAAAGAGCGAAGGTGTAAGTTTAACGTGTGTATCTGTGTATCTGTCTGTGGCATCGTAGCACCCAAACGGATAAACAGATTTTGAATGATACTTTGGTGCCATTTTTGTATTTTTTGAATTCATTTTGTCATTTTGTGGGTAGGCTGTCTGTAACAACTATATAATACCTTTGAGACATCTAAAACCTCAGTCTCTCCCGTGACCATGATTGCTGTAAAGCATTCGAAACGTCAGGAACCAAAACTCAAAATAAATCCGTGAAATAATCCGAAAAGATAATTTTATTTAGAATATCACATACCTGTTCGCGTAAATCTAAGAAAGTATTCAGTTTTTTTTATGTTTGAATCTTAATCGAGAGTGCTCTTAGCGATAAATCGAGAAAATCCGTTGAGTCTTTTGCAAGCTGCAAGCATTATTCTAGACGGTAAAAAGACGGAAGGAAGAAAGGAACAGCTTCCACAGATAAAATCGATTTGAAATATGGTATCCCGATACTTTAGTGATATTGCAATGATATGGTTACCTTGGCCTGATGCTTTATCTGGAATTTGAAATATACTCAACTCTTTACATAAAGTAATTCAGAGATATCATGTTTAAGCTCATTGAAATTGCATCAATAAGGAGTTTATTGTGTTGGGGGTTTTTTAAGCTTCTAATTTACGAGTTATGTCTAAGAAAATCTTTGAAGCCTATCAAATGGGATATCTTAAGAGGGTTTTAAGAGGCGGTTTCAAAAATATATATGATACTAGCAGAACCCGCGGCTTCGTCGCGCTTTAAATACAAAAAAAACTCCAAAATGGTAGGTTTCACACAAACTTTCATCCCTCTTATGGGATGATTTTCGAATAATGCTAAAACACGTATTGAATTAATTGTATTGAAGAGTATTTATACCAAGTTACAATTAATTCTGATCATAAGTATTTTTTTAGATTGTATTATAATGTGTATTCCCGCGGGAATTAGATAATCTCCCGCGGTAAAAAGAAACCTATGTCACTCTCCAGCCCTCCAACTATCTCCATGCAAAAATTCATGCCAAACCGTCACTCCGTTTCAACGTTAAAGAAGACAGACAAACAAACACACTTTCACAATTATACTATTAAGTATGGATAGATAGATTATAAAATCACAACCAAACTGTCGCAACTCGCATGCCATTTATCGAACGATATCAGAATCAGAACTTCTGGATTGTGTCTATACACTACCGATCTACCCTTGCTCCGCTGGGATGCCTATGTGTTCCTCCAGCTCATAATCCAACTGAATTAAATATTATCCATTTTCGTTCAGCCATTTCGACATAAAAGGAGTTACAGACATAAAATTTTACACCATACATAATATTACTTCGATTCATACATTTTAAAAGTAAATACAACCTAGTGCGTAGTGATCTACATGTCTATACTAATATTATAAAGAGGTAAAGTTTGTCAGTTTGTAAGGTTAAAAGAGGTCATCTCTCGATCTACTGAACCGATTTAAATGAAATTTGGTAAGAAGATAGTTTGAGACTCTGGAAAAGACAAAGAAAATTTTTATCCCAGAAACCATCCTTTCAGGGGTAAAATTGGGGATGAAAGTTTGTATTTGGAAGCAAGCTAGGGACGTACCCGAGTGAAACGAGGGTGAGTTGCTAGTATGCAATAAGTAGAATGCATTATTACGGCAGTTGACACTTTAAAACGTTGCAATTAATCACATCTGTGAATGGTGTGGTTGGTCATGCTCTAGTAATTTAGATCTAAGGGACTAAGGGGTAGGATTCATGAGGGAAAGTAAGACCTTTAGCAAAAATTCATTTGTTAAATTACCAAAAAACCTAAATATATTTAAATATTTTTTGTTGATTCCTCATACAAACTTTCATCCCCATTTCACCCCCTTGAGGGATGATTTCCGGGATAAAAAGTATCCTATGTCCTTCCCCGGGTCTCAAACTATGTTCTTACTAAATTTTATCTAAATCGGTTTAGTAGATCCAGAGATTACCCCCTACAACGTCACAAACTCACAATTCACAAACATTACCTCTTTATAATATTAAGTATAGATTAAGTACTGGGGACTTATGATTTGCGATTGCGATTTCATCCGAATTCATCTAGTCTTTTCAGCGGGAACTTTCATATCAGTTGTCCGATTAATTGAATACTATTTTAACTTTGAATTAACGAGTTTTTTTTTTCATTTGTTTTTTTTTAATTTCAATCCAATTTACATGGTCTTAGTATAATGAAGTTTTTTTTAAACTACCACAGTTCTCTTAAAAATACCCTACGACATACAAACCGTCGGTCTACATCCCATAATATATTCGAGGATTACATCTACCCTCTACAGTGATTGTTTTTCTTATTTATGACCATAGACTAGCTGTGGTTTATTTGTCTCTGGTGTTAGGGGATTTACTTTATGATAACATTGAATGGCAATGGTTTTGTTGTTAGTGACACTTATATATATTAAAAAAAAGATATTTATTTATGCAAAAAATTATAATAATTAGAACTGATCATGAAATAGCTTTTGTGTTTTTTATATTGAATTGAACACTTAACTTTAATGCTTGGCCCGATTTTAACCAGACAATATAATAAATGGCTGCAAATAAATATTTGCTTTTTTTAAATACTATCGTTATATTCGACGTAAAATATTTCGTCGTATTATGTAAAATAGAAATATTTATCACGAATATTTAACAGATATACTAAACTCTTGCACAAATAAATCGCAACATAATATGAAACAATTACCCGCCCCATGGGGTCATAAATACCCATAGATGGGACAACTTGATCCTACTTCAGTAATGACTGATCTCGCGGTAATGACTTGGGTTTACAGAAAATCCCTCATTTGTTAGTGAGGGTAGGTGGAAAAAGAGAGTATAATATTGATTAGCTTTTTATAAGGACAATAGATAGTATTATTGTTGAGATATCTATTTTTTTTAAAGGTAAAAGGTATTATTAATTCTTATTTGCAATAAAATATAAAATAAAATATTTAAAAAGTCTCATAAGTAATTTTTAAATGTGTTAAAAGTAAAATAAAATATTTACTCAGACTACAAAAATAAATGTGCGTATTATGATGTCTTGTTTCTATTTTTTTAAAAATAATTTTCCTTGCTCATGAGTTTAGAAGCATATAATATGTAATATCGGCTCGAATAATAAAGTTTGTTAAAATTCGATACCAGCAGCTCCATGGAGCCATCGTCTATAAAATACGTAAACTCTTATCCAAATCTAACCCCTCAAATCCACATGATCCCGGTCTATCAATCCTCAGTTAATGCCACAATAAATGGGGCCTGAGTGATCACGGGCTGCATCTTGAGGGTTATCTTGTCTATTGAATGATGAAAATAGTTTTTAATATAAGTTATAGATTTTTCTGTAGATTCTACTATATTTGTAACATCATTTGTCATTTCTGGTATATTATTTTTACTAATATATTAGTTTTATTTACATAATTATGCTAATTATAAACTGGTTGGCAAATGAAATAAAAAAAATATATATATAATAGGTCATTTAAAACGTAAACTTTGTAATATTACTACTTTCTTTTTACAATTCATACTGAATTAGTGTTGTGGAAAAGTTTAATGAAAAATCTTACTGGCTATCTATCTTTACTATTTGTTTGTTCGCTGGACTAGGTACGTCCCCTAAATAGACAGTAGCCTAATTGTACTGATATAGGGGTGTCTCAGTACAACTTTTTAAAAAAAAAGTTATATAAACATAATAAATTTTGTACTTTTGTAACTTCATGTTTAACGTATTTGCTGTTTAGGACAAAATACGTTAATTTAAATTGTAAAAAACCTGTCTTCAAAGTTATTTGTTTTGTTGTTTTCATTTTGCCAAATAAAAACGATCGAAAACCCTACCCCACTGGATGGATGTAAAGCCCTAAGTAAAATTCCGTGCATAGCTGGGATAGAAGCGACCCCTGTTGGAATGCTGTAATTATTTGTATTTAAAATGTTCACCATACACGAGTTGTGCATTCTTTAGATATTTCAAATAGTAAAAAAAAATGTTTTTTTTTTACGAAATATAGTATTAAAATTGTAGTTTTTTGCTTTTTATATTATTTTAACGTAAATAATTATATAATTTTTATGTTTTCGGCTTGGTCTGTTACGAAAATTTGACTTTTTTCTGAATTTAAAATAAAAAAAGAAAATTGAATATAACTCATAGATACTATGAAGATTAGCACACTAAATGAGAAAACCATTTGCACCATAAAGCTTTCGAAATGTACAACTCAATAGCAGTCGGCTTATGACGTCCAAAACATAAGTTCACACTAAATCTCATCTTTTCGATCCTCCCATACTTATATTTAAATATAGACCTTACTACAATCAGTTAAAGTTCAATTTACTTTTCCTTTTCATCATTTGGGGAGCAACATCTGGAATGTGATGTAATGCTTGACAAATAAATTTTCCGAATAGGGGTAGTCTAATATTTGATATGAACCGATGGAAGTTATCGAATGTTAACTTTATTTCAATGAGTTTAAAGTTTAATATTGATAAATAGAGATTACATTTTACAAAGAGTAATAGAAGCGGCTAGCAGTTCAAAATATTTTCTTTTTGTTTTGTTAATATCAACGACATACTCGTAGTATCATATATTTAAACATGCTGCCTTATGTATTATATTAGAGATCGGAATTTTGACTTCTGCTGTAAGCTATTTTCTAAGCCTAGCTTTGCAAACGTAATTAATAAACAAAAAAATAACCTCAAACTATATAAGAACTTAAAAATCTGTTAAAGTTCAAGCTTGGAGCTATTAGACCTAAATTTTATTTTTTTTATAATTTTCCACTATATCCTATTAATTAATTGTAATGATTTATTTTTAATATTGAAAAATAACGTTCTAAATCCTATTTATATTGGTTATACATCATTGTAGTAGCTTCCCGGGCGTGCGCCTGACAGGCGAGTGATAGTATTAAGGATTATAGCGGCTGGGGTCACAGCGACCGAGGGTGCAGCACTGGAGTGTTGTAATCTTAAAAGGCTAGTGTTTAATGTAAATAATGATCCACACTTATCTGGAAGCGAGTGAGTCTGTTTTTATACAATCGAACTATTACTATAAATTCGAAAGTTTGTATGTATGTATAATGTATATATGTCTTTACTAACAGAAATGTTTGGACAGATTTAGATCAAATTTAGTACACAGATACTACATATATGACCTGGAGTAGCACATACGCCTATTGTTAGGCATCTAGGGTTTCACTCTAGTGCACTTAACATTCATATTTTTTTAATATATTTTAATATTTAAATAGAACCTTTTAACTATAACTAAATAAAAAATTTGAAAATTACATGATGTTTGAAGTAACATATGATACAGTAATAAGCATAGAACCTCAATAATACACGTATAAACATTAAACCTTGTATTATTTTTTTAATCCTTCGCCTTTCAAATCAAAAGGGCAAACAATCCTTCATGAAGACAATACGTTCAGTGATCACAGCACAATCAGAAATTTTTCCCAAAACATATCAGTGATAAAAAATATTATAAAAACCTTATGGTCATGATATTAAAGTATAAAATTGATGCAAAAAAAATTATGACAGTAAAATAACATGGTACTTTTCTATATCGAAAATTAAAAGCGCATTGTTATGATGACTCCTGCATAATAAAAGCTTAATACATATATGCTCATATTTGAAGAAAATAAGTCTTTGTACTTAGATTATAAGGTTCAAAATGCAGTTTATGTTGATTTTGAAATACTAACCTTACTTGGTTTGATTAAGTACAAATCAAAGGCATCTGTGAGCAAGAGTCAGTGCAATATACGTTAGTACTGTGCTCTTCTTTTAGAATAATTCAGGACAATAAATGAAAATATATTTTTTCTATGTTTATAATAGAAGGCTTAAATAATACTTTCAAAATAATACTTAAATGATCTAAAAAAAATAAAAAAAGTGTACTATTTTTTTTTCAGTATTATCTATAATTAATCATTGCTAGCGATAAAATGAGCTTGTCAATTATTACATTTAAATATGTAATTTATTGAAATGTCAGTTTAGTTATTAAATCGTATAATTTAGCAAATATAACAAATATTATTGACACTCTACTCAAATTCTTGGACAGTAGGAGGGTTGAATATAATAGGGGCAAGTTTTAATCAATGGTCCGATGTACCACGTGTTACAAATGGAGGGTTAAGTTATAGTAAATATTAAAGAAAATTACTTGTTTGTGTTATGTCAATTTTGCCAACATTTTTTTCATGTGAGCTATAAAAAAAAAAAAATTTCGGGGACGTAAGTGTGAAATTTTTTTATGTTTTAAACACATTTCTATTACTTGGTAGCCCAGTGGTAGCTGCCCCTTGGGAAACCGAGAATAGAGGGTTCTAAATACTGGCTCTGATATTTTCATGTCGAATCATTTCGACACATAATTGCCACTTGTCTTACGGTGAAGGGAAACATCGTGAGGAAACCTGCACGTCTGATAGAAACTAGCGAGTTTTAAAAGACATGTGAAGTCCGCCAGTCCCTACTTTGCCCAGCAGTGGATGTTAAAAAGGGCTGAATATTGTTACTTGTAACTAGAAGGCGATTTGAACCTACATATTTTGTAACCCAAAGGCTTTCTGGAAGAAATAATAATCGCTAATAAACGCTTTAGCGATAAGGCCGCCTTTTATTCAGTTTCTTTCGCATACTTCTTTTCATATTTATGTTAATACTTTGGTGACTATAAAGTATATATAAACAATAAGTATGTGATAATGAATGATAAAATTAAAATTTGATAGGCAGATAGTAAAACTCTTCAAGGGCTTTCAGTAAAACTCTTCGATTCTTAATTCATTTTGACGAGTTCCGTTCATTATGAATTGACCATGATGTAAATTTTTAGTCTTTTAAAACTATTATTTGACACAATATGATATTGTTACAGCTATCCTTCCCTACCGCGAGGATGCAAGCCCACAAACGCGCGAGTTTCTTGCCAGAGTGGTGGATGTCCTTCTCGACTACATACAAAAAGTCAACGATCGGAATGAGAAGGTACGTTTTAGATTTTTATAGTTAATTTTATTGGGGGTGATCAGCTGTTTCTTAAATACTTTATTGTTTTTGGATACTTTTTTACATATTAGGTATCTTTTAATAATGGCTTCATCGGATGAAGGCTAAAATTATAGATATGAACGAAGAAACACAAAGAAAAATTAAATAAAATGCTTAAACCGATAACTGGGACATACTCAACAAACTGGTGTTGCTTTCTAGATATTATTAAATTTGTACATTTTCCTTAAAATTACAAAAAATTAGGTTTAATATCTGTGTACTATTTCTTTGTCTGACTTTAATTTTATTTTCCTTTAGATCCTGGAGTTTAGGATGCCGGAGGAAATGTACAAGATGCTGGACCTACAGCTTCCAGAGGATCCTCTGCCTTTAAAGCAACTGCTCGAGGATTGCAAGATCACTCTTAAGCATCAAGTGAGGACTGGTAAGTACATTCTCAAAGTTTTATAATTTGAACATGCTTATTATAAGAACTCTTCTATGTTTTAGGACTTTCAGTTTTATTTGGGAGAGTACTATTTTATTTGGTTACTCGTATGTGGTTACGAGAATAATGATAATAAAACTTTTTTAACATCCTAGCGAGCAATTTAAAATTCATTGTATAAATTAAAATGAAATGCCCTTCATTTATAAGATTACGTCACTCGTCAATGTGAACATTTGCGAAACTAGTTTTTTATTATACTTACATAATATATCTCACAGTCCGAATAATATAAGGAAACAAGGATACAGGAAATGTGGGGAAAAACAAAGTGCTTTTCTGTAAAGGATTCAAGTTTTTGTATAAATTATTATTATATACTAGCAGAACCCACGACTTCTCTCGCGCTAAAACTACGAAAAAACGCTAAAAAAGTAGGTTTCATACAAACTTTCATCCCCCATTTTACCCCCATATGGGATGAATTTCTAAAAATGCTAAAACACTTAGTTACTTTAATTGTATTGAGTAACATTTATACCAAGTTCCAAGTAATTCTGGTCGTAAATATTGTTTTGAGTTGTATTATAAGGTGTTTTCCCGTGGGAATGAGATAATCTCCAGCGTTAAAAAGTAGCCTTTGTCACTCGCCAGCCCTCCAACTACCTCCACACATAAAATCTACGCCAATCTGTCACTCCGTTTCGTCGTGAAAGAAGGACAAATAAACAAACAAACAAACAAACAAACAAACAAACACACTTTCACATTTATAATATTAGTATAGGTTTCGGGACTTGAGTTCATCGGAATAGTTCTTAATTATAGTTGGATCCTGATATAGATTTTTTTTAATTTTCCATTAAACATGGTCTGTGGTAGAACGTCTGCCTTCCAATACTGGGTATTTATTGATAAAGACATGAAACATTGAACTCAATGTGTAGTGTAATAATAGCTGCAATCATTCCGCGCTTTTGCAACGTGTAATTGAGTTGTTTGATGCGGGGCTACTGTAGGACGTATCGGGAATTGTAATTCGTCTTACTTCAATCGTGGATGTGTCGACTTTTTCATATGATTTCAAAATTGTTAAAAGGTATCATCGTCATTTGTCCAATTTTCATATTTTTTCAATATATATTTGATATACAGAAAAATAAAGTTGAAGTGTCTGTGTATAATGTCAAAATAACAGCTTTTTATTAAATGCATGAAATTATATACGGTACTTATAACAAAACACAATTTTTAAAATTTTTGTCTGTCTGTTTCGACTGATCGCCGAAACTGTTAGACTGATTGACAGGACTTTCACTAGCAGATAGCAGATGTTATAAGGAATAACTTAGATAACTTTTATTTTAGAAAAAAGAATTATGGTTTCGCTCCAATAAAAATGAAACAGAGCGCAGATATAAATTTGAAGTAAAATTTAAGCTTTTGGGTTTAAATCTATCATAATATTATAAAGAGGTATTGTTTGTTAGTTTGTGACGTTGTAAGGGGGTCATCTCTGGATCTATTAAACCGATTTAGATGAAATTTCTTAAGAAGATAGTTTGAGACCCTGGGAAGGACATAGAATACTTTTTTCCGCAAATCATGCCTTAAGGGGATGAAAATAGTGATGAAAGTTTATATTGGGAAACAAGCTATGGACGAACCTGAGCGAAGTGAGGGTGAGTTGCTAGTTACGTATAAAAGTGGCTTTGAAATCGGCGTATCATTTTAGTTAGGTTTTACTTAATATTGTATTTACAAGAATTGAGTAATTCGTTTATTCTAAAGTCCATCAAAACATTGAATAATTAACTTGACAAAAAACGGATTTATTTTATTTTTTCCCCAAGTCAAAGTATTTTTAGACTTTCTCCTGTTTTCATTAAACGGTAAGTACTTGCTTAATTTAGAAAACTATATAAAAATCGGATTTCTTCTAAAATATTCCATCTCCTTCATTCACTATTTGTCCTAAATTTTCCCCAACATCAAGTGTAAGTAATAGCGGTATTATTCCACTCCGCTTGCCCACATAATTGAATTGTTTGAGGGGTTACATTTTATTGCTACACTGAGCTTTAATCCTGGGTTTTTTTCATTATTTTTTACCGACTTCACGAAAGGAGAATGTTACAAATTATTTTTCTGTATATTTTGCAACGTGATATCTTTGCTGGATGTGGGTTTCATTTAATTGATCCTTTCTTAGGGTTATTTTGGCAAGAGACAAAAACGGAACCCTAATAAGTTTGTCACGTCCGCTTGTCTGTATGATAAAGCTATCTTACTCGAAAACGATTGGAGCTATGCAGCTCAAGTTTTGTAAGTATCCGAAAGGGCCTCTAGATAATTCTTTAGTCAAATTATGAAAAAACTAGCGACTCACCCTCTCTTCGTTCGGGTTCGTCCCTAGCTTGCTTCCCAATACAAACTTTCATCCCCTTTTCACCCTCTTAAGGAATGATTTCCGGTATAAAAAGTATCCTATGTCCTTTCCAGGATCTCAAACTATCTTCTATCAATTTCATCTAAATCGGTTCAGTAGATCCAGAGATTACCCTCTACAACGTCACAAACTCACAAACTTTACCTCTTTATAATATTAATATAGATAAAAATAGGCCATATAATATATAACTGAGGAATGAAAAGAAAATGTAAGTTACATAAACTTAAGGGTGATTTCTAGATAGATGATTAACATTGGGTTAAATGTTTCTAAGTCACTCTTTTTTTTACCATTCACTTTTTAACCAAATAATTATGCTGTATTTAAAATCACTTACAAAAGATCCAAGTTTTAGGAGTGGATGTTTTTGTTAAAACCACCTCCATATTTGAATTGTATATATACCCTATTCATTAAAAAAAGATAATGAAAATCTATTCACAACTATCACCGACTAGAACCGCGGCTTCGCTCGCGCTAAAACTACAAAAAAAATCTCCACAAAGGTAGGCTTCATACAAACTTTCATTACCTATTTTACCCCTTTATGAGATGAATTTTGAAAAATGCTAAAACACGTATTTATTTAAATTCCCGTGGGAATGATATAATTTTCCGCTGTAAATAGTAACCTATGACACTCTCCAGCCCTCCAACTATCTCCGCACACAAAATCAGGCCAATCAATCTTTCCATTTCGACGAGAAAGAATGACAAACAAACAAACAAACAAACACACATTCACATTAATAATATTAGTATGAATAGTCTTGCTTTTAAAACGGTCTAAGTACAAAGTTTTCTAGCAAAAATTAAAAAGTCCTCAGCGAAGCAAGTTATTTATATAGATGTAGAATAGATGCACCCTATTCTAAAATTTCCGTCTTTCATGTCACAAGCGTGTCCCGCATAGCTGCTAGCCATTAGCACACGCTTAGCCGAGCACATGATTGTACAATGCTCAGATATGTATGCACTTCGAGATGAAAATGTTGAAAGATTTCGGGGTGCCCTTTAATAATTATTTCGTGCCATCTTGTTTAGGAGAAAAAAAAATTGTAACCAACAATTTTGTTCTGATATTCCGTTACGCTCGTCTGATCCTATGTCCGTATGTCACAGCTATTTACTCGGAAACTATTTGAGGTAGGTAAATTTCATGTGAAATGGACAATCTATACATATAATAAAATTCTAACTGAGCCGAATCTGTACATTAAATATTTTTTGGAAAATCTTATTGAAATAGACACAATTATCGATACAGAGGCCGAATCTATAGATTTTAGAATTTTTGTCTGTCTGTCTGTCTGTCTCTCTGTTACCGCATCACGGAAAAACCACTGGAGGGATTTTAATAAAATTTGGTATGATGATAGCTGGTTATCCGGGTCAACATATAGGATACTTTTTACTACGGGAAGATATCTCATCTCTGAGAAATAGATACTAAACGTTAAAACGTAAGTATCGACGAACCCGAGCGGAGCGAGGGTGACTCGCTAGTTATAAAATAAACATCAAGGAGCACTCCATATATGCAAATGAGAAAAAAAAATTATGACTCCACATATGTAAGCATGTGAGTTGTGCTTGGAAAGTCCTTAAGATTGAGATAGATGTTTCTAAGTGAGTTTATGTTCAAGCCTAAACTAAATGCTTCAAACTCAACACAATAAAATATATTTTGAAGAAGATATGTTGAATAATTTATACTAATATTATAAATGTGAAAGTGTGTTTGTTTATTTGTTTGTTTGTTTGAGAGTGACATAGGCTACTTTTTAGAGCGGGAGAAAATCTCATTCCCACGGGAAAACACGTTATAATACAATGTAAAAAAATATTTATGATCAGAATTACTTGAGATTTGACATTAACGCTCTTCAATACATTTAATTAAATATGTGTTTTAGCATTTTACAAAATTTATCCCGTAAGGGGTTAAATACGGGATGAAAGTTTATATGAATACCTTTTTAAAGTTTTTGTAGCTTTAGCGCGAGCGAAGCCGCGGGTTCTGCTAGTTGAGTATATATTTTAGATAAAATATCCCATAAATCGATTTCAAGCTTTCGCCCGCAAAATTACATATGTTAAAACAACGTATATTTTAATTTAAATATAGTTTACGTATAGTATTTTGTTTTGTGTATATTATTTTGTAAAGAATAACTAACAAAATCTAATTTATCTTAAAACACAACTAAGCTTGGAGTGTCTAAGTGAAATTCCTTAACAAAAGCTGTTAAGTAAAAACAATAAAATCGTAAGCCGCATTATAAAACCGTGATTTACACCGAGTGCCCGCACGCAAATCGTTGGATTAGAACACCGCACTAAGGTGACCATTTTATTAAAAACTGGCGACTTCCTAGCTTCGTCGTCTAGGTACATTTTAAATCTATATTATTAATTTAATAAAATTCTAACAGAGTCGAATCTGTACATTGAGTATTTCTTGGAAAAACTTATTGAAATAGTCATTATTATCGATACAGAGGCTGAATCTAGTACATTACAAAAAATAAAGTAATTGTGAGTCTCTAACGTAACCTTAGGTAGGCTTTTCTGTAGGCCTTTTTAAAATCTACAATTTTCTAGCCAGTGTTAGCTATGTAAGCGTTTTTTTTTCGAAGATCACCGTTCATACCGTCATAGGTCAAACATTTTGTACAGATTTCTGCCTATTAACTGCCTCAGTGGTCTAATGGCTAACTTGTACTAGAAGGTCCTGTGATCGAGTCCCGAGTCGGGCCAAGTTTAAACACAGTTTTTTAAGATATTCTCAGTAGTAGCCTGGAATTAGAAAGTCCTGTGCCTTAACTGTCTCATAATTTATTTGTCATGAACTAGACGTGTGACATGTAAGTGCTCAACAGTATAAGACTTATCCTTCGTAATTTACAGCCCTCATGGCCAACCTACACTAAGTCCCCCATACTCAGGATCCTATTGACGCTGAATTACCATAGTTTGATAGATCAGCCCTCTTCAAGAGGATATCTGGTTATGGATTGATTTTGTCCATTATATGATAAAAACCTTTGTTATAGAAGATCATAAAAATTTTATAGGAAAAATAAGATTTTTTATGTTGTAGATAGCTTGGAAGTTTATATTTAACGAAATTTAAAAGAGTCGCGATTCTTAATTTAGTGCTCAATAAAAATGTATCATATAATACAAATCTGGTTCTTCTATTCTCAATTTTTTTTATTAAAAAAATAAACAAACGAAATTTATCTTTACTAGTGCAGAAAATTTTGAGATGTATAGAATTTAACTAACTGTATTAAAAAAATATTGATAACACTCAAGCTTGTCAATAGCTACTTAAGAAAAAAAGAAAATAGGATGACAAACAGAGGAGAATAAGGCACAAAGTATTGTCTTTGTTAATTTATATATAGACTAGCTACTTTCCCTCGCTTTATATAGCAAATAGCTTTCCCTAATAAATGGGCTATCTAATGCAAAACGAATTTTTCAAATCGTAGTAGTAGTTCCTGAGATTAGCGCGTTCAAACAAACAAACAAACAAAAAAAACAAACAAACAAACAAACAAACAAACAAACAAACTCTGCCTCTTTATAATATTAATATGATTGTGTGTACCTAGTAATGTTAAGTCGGATCTCCTCCAATCGAATGCCTCCAACTTATGCTTCATAAAATTAATAAAATAACACAATAAGTAATTTAGACCACTACCACAATTCAATGTTAGTTCGTTACAAAAGTTAGGGTCCACAGATTGAATTAAATATACGTGATCTGTTCTCCAAATCCTATTTCACTTACTTTAGTTTACAACACATTTTCCTAAGTTCCGTACGATGTAATATTTTGCCACTATAAGATTTACATTTTTTTTTCTTTCTTTTGTAGGTCGTGTTAAAAAAGTTTCTTCAGAAGTTTGTGATAATTAACTAAAATTCAGTTATTTACTTTTGCATTGATACCCTATTATATTGGTACTAGTAAGCCCATCTTCATTTGACAAATTGTATACGACGTAAAATCTTATTTCCTCTCCGAAATAACCAAAAGTCCTTTTAAATTTCATCTAAACAACAAACATAACTTGGCTGTATACTTCGCACAATAGCCGATAACACCATTGTAAAGCAAACCCACACCACAATGGCGGCTGATTGCTGTTACTTTGACAGCGCACGTGGCGGGAAAATTATAACCCTTGTAATGGAGATTCGGTGTTTTTCTGTTTTAAGTTGAAATTAATTATGTTATTTAATTATGGTGAGCTTACAAAATAAGCATATTTACAATTTTTCCTTTCCAAATTTTATTTATTTTTGTGACATAAACAATTTTTCACTTCACTACACGACATCCTAACGGACTAAATCAAATTGGTTTAAAATATTATCCTTTTTTTATTTTTATTAATTTTTATTTCAATTTTTATTTTTATTTTGCGCAGAGATTATGCGCTAAAACTGCTGAACAAATTTGTATGAAATTTAACAAGAAACTAGATTGTTTTATCGGGACGAACATAGGTCACGTGTTATCCAGCCTTAACTTGCGAGTGAAACCGCGGGCAAAAAATTGTATACATTAAGTCGTGATATATTGTATCCTAAATGTATATTTAGGATTTTATGTAAAAAAAATAAAGAATATGACACCAAGTTTATCTATAAACTGCTTTTGACAGCCACTCCATTCCTCAGGGACTCTCGTGGTGAAAGATAAGTGCGATTTAGAGGGCGTTTTTTTGTCGAGATATTATGTGGTTGACATTATCTGATAAATGGTTTATGTTCTTTTAGATGTTTATATCTGGTTTTTTATTAGTAGTAAATTCGATTTTACTGGGATGATAAATTTATCAAATCAAATGATAACATTTTAGATGGAAAAAATGAACCCTATGTTCACTTTACTGTTTATTGATAAAGCGTATTTAATAAAAAGCAATAGGTATTTTGGAAAAATACAATGAGTTTTTCGGAAAAATGCCAAGAGTGAGCCGAGAAAACTTTTCGATAATTTCCAGAATTTTCTTTTTTTTTAATTTTGAGATAAATGTATTTGGGTACTATATTGGGATCCACAGCACGAAAAAAATCCCGTACCCGAATTCGAAAAGTAAACCTATTCAAGTCACACACAAAATAAACAATCACTCACCCCAACTCTAAAATGTAGATTAATTTGGTATTACTCCACCTGACTCGGTCGAATTAATGGCGACCCCATCTGGTTTATACGAGGGGATTATATTAAATTCCGATGAATTTATATTATTTTTTGCAACCCTCTGGTATGCTGAACTAACGTCAGTACGTAACTTCGAACGTAAATTGGTATATTGATTTGGTCACTGATTTTGCTCATCCTCAGACCTGATTTTCCTCTGAAAACCGACCTCCTAAAAAAACCACCTCTTAAAACCGACTTCAAAGAAAACACTAAAAAGTCAAAAATAACTGATTGGTAGTTTTCATTTACTATAGATACCTAATATTTTTGAAATTTGTGACAGATACAAATTAAACCACACAAAAGAATAATCAAAATCAGACTACACTGTAAAAATTTATGCCTCAAACATAAAAAAAATACTTGTCAAATTGAGAACCTTCTCCATTCTTTCTTCAGTTAAAAAGAAAAAGATATGAAATTTGGATGAAAGAATAAGTTTCCTGAAAATTTTAGAGATGCGTTAAGATTAGTTTTTTTCTATGAAATACCTATCTAGGAATTTTATTCATGACCCAAAGTAAGAGAAAAACGTTTACAAAAGCAAAAATTTATTATATACCATGTTATTCTTAAGTTTATCTACACATTTTCACTCATCCAAAGGTTTCATATCACAGCGGATATTAAAATAACCGCGGCACGTGCTTCGTTCAATTTCCTCCGAAAAACGTCTAAAGATAACACATTATAGTGGGGTCAAAGCATATGCTAGCAACAATAGGATATGATATATCGATCTTCTATCTTTTACAGACGGTACTTAAAAGATGCGAATAATCTATTAGACTGTACCTGAAGGGTACAGGCAGAGAACAGTATGTCTTAATGAAGAATTGGAAAAGGAAAAACTAGTGGTTGAGAATGCAAGTACCATAGACATAGGTTCGTTACCAGGATAAAACAAAAAAAAATGTTTTTTTTTTGTTTCCCTGTTCTTTGACGGTACCCTTCACTTGTAAATTTGCCGGTGTTAAAGGTAGGTAGGTAAAGTGCTTCCTCTGTATTTGATTTAAATCATGATTTGAATATGACCAAAGAAATGGTTTCTCGATTTATCTTAAAGATGGAATGAGATGATGATGGAGAGAGAGAGGATCTAGGCTTTAGAATCTAATTTTGTACTAATATCAGATTGGAGACAATAGATGCCCCAATAAAAAAATCATGGTAGCCCCATAGTCTCACGGGGCAGCTGGGGCTCAAATGCGGGTGTAGAATCAGCCGTTTTAAAATGAGGTAGTTTATTTAGTAGATTATTTGATTTTTTATGAAAAATTAATTGTATTTTAATCAAAAGATTTGTTCTAATAATAAATATTCATTTGCATAATATAAGCATCGACTGGCACCGACACTCAAATTTTAAAATTAAATAATTTATTACTTCAACTTTTTAGATAGTCGAGGTCTAATTTTTTTATATTTAAGCTCTATTTTTTTATTAAATGTACCTGATGTACCAGTTGTCAATATTTGTTAATATTTATAATATCACCTTTCGCTAATTTTTTATGCAAAGCAGAAGCAAAAAAATTTGTTTCCATATATTTCCACGAATTTTGAAGAAGAGACGGCACGCGAGTAAGTCTCACGCTTTTTATTTAAAAAAAACGGAATCCTTATAAAATATATTTATGTTCGATAAGTTTTCCACTAAATCGAACCCTGAACACGGATGTCAATCGTCCGGTGTAGCCGCGCGTACTATTGCTTCCGGTCAGACGTTGATAGGGTGGTTTCCTTTTCCGAAACATCGTTAAGATGACACGAACATTTTTATCTATAAAAATATTATACCTTTGCGTATGTGAATGAATGTCTGTATTTCTGTAGGACTAAATAGTTCCTTGTAACAGATAATATGGAAAAGAATATTATTATTTTAATTTTCCCCATTCTCCATCAGGTCATCCCCACTTCTTCAACCAATTGTCATGTGGTCTGGACATCATATCCTTAGCTGGAGAGTGGTTGACTGCGGCTGCTAACACTAACATGTTCACTTACGAGATCGCACCAGTTTTCATTTTGATGGAAAACGTTGTTCTGGAGAAGATGAGGGAGATGATTGGATGGAAGAGTGGCGACTCCATCTTAGCTCCAGGTATACTCATTTTAATGCAAAAGATAACTAAACCACATAAGATTTTAATATTATTTATTTAGAGGGTCAAATAGAGAACAGCCCTCTGTATTCTTCGTTTTACGCCTATATATGCAGAGTGGCAGCTTATAAAGTTTAAAAGTATGAGAGAGTAATTTTTTTTTACTCTAAACTAAAATAATAATTAATTATTACAGCTATTTTTAATACCAATATATTTTTTCTCAATAAGGTGGATCTGTCTCGAACCTCTACGCCTTCCTCGCGGCGCGTCACCACAAGTTCCCACAGTACAAGGAGAAGGGTCTCAGTAGCATCCCTGGACAACTCGTCATGTTCACTTCTGACCAGGTAAAGTAGCATTGACGCCACAGCAATTTACATAATATTTAATTTCTGCTCAACTTTCAGAAGTAAAATATATAAATATTTGTAACCTTCTGCAGTTGATCAGACTTTTATCATCTAGTAAATGAGACAAAGTGGCAGGCTTTTAGCAACCAATTTACGATAAAAAATCATACATCAAACTTTAAACTTATCTATGTTTAATTTTTATTAATAGACATTTTTTCCCTCTAGTGCCATTATTCGGTGAAGTCCTGCGCGTCGGTAGGTGGACTAGGGACGGACTACTGTGTTTGTGTGCCGTCAGATGAACGTGGCCGTATGATCTCTGCTGAACTCGAACGGCTAGTGCGCTACCACCTGGACAGGGGCAATGTAAGTAAATAAAACTAGTATAGTTAGTCCGTTGTAGGTTTCATATTGACTTTAGTTTAAAGTGTAATGTTCTATTTGAACAAGCAATCTGAGAAGACTTAGTAGACCGAAAAGACCAATGAGACCTTAAAAAATAAGTGACCCTTAATTAGTAATTTAAACTGAATAAGGATTGGTTAAAATATTTTTATAGTGAATATGATCTTTATATTTACTGATTCGTATATGTACAAGCTTATTTATTATACATATACTTTGTGTGACTGATTGAAGAGTTTAGTACACCCATTTTGTGAAAACATTAATAGGAAAATTCTAAAAGTTTAATAATATTAAACCCAGATTGGTGTAGCCAAAATAATATTTTAAAAAAGAAGTGAAGCTATCTTAATCTCCTATTCCCAAGGTACCATTCTTCGTGAATGCGACCTCAGGAACAACAGTGCTGGGCGCCTTCGACCCACTGATGGAGATCGCGGACATCTGCCAGAAGTACGACATGTGGATGCATGTTGATGTGAGTAACGTGTACCTATTATAGATTTAGCAATTTTTAGATTTCCGTACATCGCAAGGGAAAATGGAACCCTTATAGGATCACTTCGTTGTCCGAATGTCTGTTTGTCAAACCCTTTTTCTCAAAAACACGTGGAGGAAATCAAGCGGAAATTGACATGAACTACTCACTACTCAAGTCGCAATCCCTTTCAGCTGTTAAAAAGTCAACGCAATCATATATTTTGACACTCGCTAGGGAATCAAAACCTATAGTGTACTTCCCGTTAAGTTAGAATCATAAAATTTGGCAAGTAATGTCTTACAGCACAACTAAAGAGAAAATCCAAAAACTTCATATTTGTAGTTATATCACAAAAAAAACGTGATTATAAACTTATTTTAATGTTTCAAGGTGCGGAACACTCGGTATGCGAGTTAGACTCGCACTTGTTCGATTTAATTTTTTATTTTTCCTAATAATGCGAATAAGATTTTAGGAAAAAAATACTTTTGTGGGTATAGGTATCCAGTATAAATTAAATATGTCTTCTCAAAAAAATTTCTACATCAAAGACAGAATTATTAATTTGAACTTTAAAATACTAAACACTAATAACTTGTGTGATTCTTAAATATTTTATGGAACAAATAATTTTACTGATAATAAAATATGAAAGTTTACATATTTAGAAGTTTAGATGAATGTTTGTTCCCAATAACGCCAGAACGGCTGAACGGATCTGGATGAAAGGCTCAAAGCCGATTATTATCTGGAATAGGACATAGGCTAATTTTTATCCCAGAATAAAGGTCGGTACCCGTGCGACAGATAAGTTTTTGATTTTCTAATATCTATATATATAAAAGAAAGTCGTGTTAGTTACTTCGCTTATAACTCAAGAACGGCTGAACCGATTTAGCTGAAAATTGGCAGGGAGGTAGTTTAGAGCCAGGAGAAGGACATAGGATACTTTTTATCCCGTTCGACCGCGTTCCAATTTTTATGATATTTTAATTTTTGGATTTCTCTTAGTCCGGAATAGGTAAGTATTAAAACATATAATTAAAATGTGAGAAAGAAAGATTTTTTCTTTTTATATCTATTTAAAACGTACCTAGCGACGAACCCGAGCGAAGCGAGGGTGAGCCGCTAGTTAAATATATTTAGCACTATCCTACGAAAATCCCACACATTTTTACAAAAACATTTTAACATTTTAAAACTCGATTAAACATTGTTAAACTCGAGCTTCTCTTGTTACCTTACTTACCTTAAAAGCGAAATTAAATCCGTTTTGTTCAGTAATAATTTAATAAGAAATATGTATAAATAATTGCGATTTAAAAATCTAAATTTCCTAAAAAATATATATGTTATTGTATGATATCTATTGATTACCAGGCGGCTTGGGGCGGCGGCCTGCTCTTCTCTAAAAAATATCGCCATCCTCGCCTCACCGGAATCGAGAGGTAAGTTCATTCCAAATATGTATAAATAACTTCATATTTGTATATTATATAATAGTTTTAATTATTTTAATTAACAACAGAGCTAAATTCGTTTTTGAATTGTTATAAATGTGGTAATAAATAACTTATCAGCATATCTCAGGAACTAGAAGTGGAAGGTGTTCCTAAATGCGGGCTTTTAGTAAGAAGTTTTTTTTTGGAAAAACTACATTCGTATAAATGTATATGGTAGTAGGTACTTTTATAGAAATCCAAAACCCATAATCTAGAATATTCTAAAGGAATTAATCCCATCTTCCTACCATTAGCCGCCATCAATCATCGCTGTTAAATACTGCGGCGTAATGCGGGAGGCGCGTGTAGTGGAGCGAGAGACTTAGATTTAGGGCTGCCAACACGAAGTTTTTTATGAATATCCGAATTCTTTTTCTAAAATAAAGATAGCCCATGTTATTCCTTATATCATCAGCTATCTGCAGTGAAAGTGCCGTTAAAATCAACTCATCCGTTTCAGAGACTAGCCGGAACAAGCAGACAAAAATATTAAAAATTATTTTTTCTTATAAGTACCGTATATACATACGTAATTTCATACGCATTTAGCAAAAAGTTTTGGAATATTGATTGCTTTGCATTACTATATATGTAATAAGTTGCAGATGCATTGCCTGCACAGGGCAACACCAAATCAAAACAGCTTACAAAACTGTTACAAATAAATTGTTTAATAAAATAATAGTGGCAGCCCTACACATTGGATTAGTTCACATCGGATCCGTATGTTCGCACGTCACTTCTGCGAGTACCTCTGAACTCTGACGTTTATTTTAGATTCGAAGCTCTTACTTAGACGGTGAAGCGTGAATCGCGAGTGATTTATGTCTAAGCAACATATTTATTAGGTATACATATGTACATACATATATATACATCCTTTTAGTGAAATACTTTATATATTTAAATTTTTCCTTTTAATTTAACAAAACTTTGAATTTCTCCAGATCCCAAAATAATGAGTTGTCGTTAGGTCATTAGCTTACTACAAAAATGCTTTGAAAATATATTTAAATAATATGTAAATATTTGAAATAATCCAAAAACAAATATTTTTCCTAAAATATATAGTTTTTAACATATTTTTATTAGATTCATTTATAACTAAGAATACTATCAAATCATTCCATTTTAACCTATTTCTAAAATATATCGTATCGATTGAAGTATCGAACCTTTGATTTTGGGCTTCTTAGTTCATGTACCCCATACGTTTGAACACAAAAAGTAAAACTATTTTTTGTAAAACTATAATGATTATAAAATATTAACTGGCAACAACTCAATAATTTATCAAAGTGCGATATGTTTTTAGGTCTATATTAGATACTTGTATATAAACATACCATCTTTAAATCCTACAGTTTTCTAAAAGCATTCAAAATTTTCTTTTTTCAACTTTTCCCATCACCCTCGAGGGGTTGCAATCAATTAAAGACCCCCGAGGGTAAAAAACAATGCGCCACTGCATTGCTGTAGTCGCTCGTTTATCACAAAATGGACGCTTCTCACACCGTAACGTGAAAATACGCAAATAATATTATATATTAAATTATTTCAAAAGGAATGTGAATGAAAATAAATAGACTTAATAATTTGTTCTACAATCTTTGAAGAATAAAAATTAAATATTATGTTGAAATGATAATTTTAATCGTTATCGTCATCGATCAAAAAAGAACTAGATACACAATCCCATGCAAAAGTTCTCTTAAAACTGTCACCAATTGCGTGTAAGTAATTATTCTAGTTTAAATAAATATATAACAATGTAAATTGAATCTTAAATGTAATGCCTAAAGTTATTTTCACAAAAAAAAACATAAGCGCGCTCATCAAATGTTCAAATGAGCGCTTATTCGGTGAGGACATTTTTTGTCTCGATTCGTTCGAATTAATCGATTAGTTCTATCATAATTTTTTAAATTACATGCAAAATATACTTGCACAGGTAAGTTTAGAAGAAGAGAGGAAGATAGAGTTCCCTTATTTAAACTTAATTTAGTTTTCGCGAGTTTTTCCTACGCATTCCAAATTCCTTTCGTTTTTAGGACACTAATGCCTAATTTCACCAACAACCCATAAGCTACCACCTACGTATGGGATCCCTAGCTTAAAAGTCCCCTAAACTAGCCCCTAAATTAAATTTCGTTTTACGATCGTCTTTAAGCCTATATTTCGAGCACCTAAATTTAGGGGGCCTTTTAATATTTAGGTGACCCCTAACTGTCGGTGAAACAGAAACTGTCCCCAAACAGCCCCCTAACCATGCTCAGGGGATCTCTTAAACTTAGGTGACTTCACCAACGGAAATCGGGCATAAGTGTGTCACAATACAATTACAATTCGGTGTGACAGAATTGTAAAGTTTCTCTCCCTTAACTGTAATCCGGGATTAGCCTAAAAGGCGGGCGGAGTCGACGCAACTGTGTCAATACAAATACTCGATACGCACTCGCACTAAATACTAAAATATATACTTTTTAGAGTTTTATATTTTAATTACAAGACTTTATTTTTCACGAGAAAAGTTACTTTAGTAATATCTCTATAATTTATATTTAATTAGATTTTGTCCGTAACTTCGTTCGCGTAGTTTATACTATGGTTTCGCTTCTTACGGTCATACTATGACCGTCATAACGTATGCTAGATAGCCTTCTTCAATAATTAGGACTTATGTAAAAGAAAAGAAATGTAAGAAGAATTTTACATAATACTTACTTAGATTTACGCGAATTTTGACGTTTTAAATAGTTTTATTTATATTTTCGGATATTTTCCCGAATTTATTATGAATTTTGGTTCCCGACGTTTCGAATGCTTTACAGCAATTATAGTCGCGGGAGAAACTCCTCTCGAATCGTCGGGAACCAAAAATTAAAATAAATCCGCGAAAAAGAAAAAGATAAAGATCCCCAAAAAGATAGTTTTACTTGAGAATTTTACAATATACATGGTATGTATTACTGGTATATGGTGTATACTGTATATGTGTACTTCGTAGCTTGTCATTTTCACAAGCTTTCATTTTACTAGTTTCGTAAATTCACTACTCACTGTCCTATTAAAATTACCTACTTATTAATAAGAGCTTCAGCTACATTGTAATAATTTATATCATCACCATATTGTGATACAGCTGATTTGACGATAAAGTTTAAAATAGTGGGAACTCCTCAAGCACACCAAAACACCAAAAAATTATAAGAAAATTAATAAATAGTAAATTCGTATGATTCTCTTACTACATCACTTGTTTTTTTCTAACAGGGCTGACTCCGTGACCTGGAATCCCCATAAGCTTATGGGAACTCTCCTCCAATGCTCTACCGTTCACTTCAAATACGAGGTAAGTTAACATTTCATTTTTAACATGTTAAATGGGTTTATTTTAAATGTTAACATAAATAAAAAAGATGTGTTTTTTTAATTTATTTTAATTATTTTTCTGTTTAAAATGTTTTATTTTATAAAATAAAAATTATGTTATTCATGTAATGTTTCCTTGTATCTTTCTTCTCACTTTTCCTTTTTTTAAGAACAGCGACTATAAAATACTTATATTTGTTTTATTCAATTAATTACTATAGTAATAACAATTATTAGTTGAAAATGGCTCGTCATAGTTAAAATACAAATACAGTATTATAAATCATTCTAAATTAATACCAAAAGCTTAACATAATCCACAAAAGTGACAACAAATCGTTTATACTCTCAGGATGAGCAAACATCTGGTCGGACTGCAGATAGCGCCCCTTGCAATCCCTTCATAATTTGCATGTCAATCTGTTTACACTTTTTATCTCCAAACCACAGTTCTGTTGGCTTAATATATTATAATAGTTTTAAATTTTACGTATTTATTATAGATTTTTTGTAAAAATACTCATAAAGTAGTAAAAAAGAAATATAACTTATTGAATAAACTTCGAATATTCCAATGGTCAAAATGGTTTGCCTTGAAAAATGTTTATTACTTGTAGATATTTTGTTGTTATTTGCTGTATGGTTTTATTCAAATGTTATTAAAATATAAATGTTAACATTTTTCAATAATATTCTACTATTCTCAAAATATATATATATATATATATATATATATATATATATATATATATATATAGTTTAGACCCGCTAAGTTTCTTTTGCCAGTTTCTTCTCAGGTCTGAGGCTTCTTCTTTTCGAACTGGTAGTGGACTTATGATGTTCAGTAAAAAATTGTTCAGTAATTTAATGCTGAATAGAATATTAGAAATTTTACTTTGATTCCTTTTTGTCTTTTTTAAATTATAACGTCTAAAACGTAGAATTTCAACATTACTACGTGAAATATGTAAGAGAACTCTAAATAATCTTTAAAATGATCACTAAATAATTCCAAATATAGCAAACAAATTTTAAATTAAATGTCTAACTTTAAGTCAACTGTGTTAAATTGAAATTACGGCACTTGACTTGTAAAATCGTTCTTAATTATGGCATTTTAGCCCCTATTAGTAGATGTTAAGGCTGTTTATTAAATAGCTGATGATTTTCCAGATATACGGGCCACGTCAGCTCAATATGCTAAACAATAAATCTTAAGCTCCGCCCCCACAGTAAAGTTAGCTAGGGATGATCCGATACATCTACGATAAATAATTAAAATCAACGTATTCAATGTTTAGAAACATTAAAGACCAGCGTTTGCTAGCAGCCTCACTCGCGTTAACGCGTATAGACAACTCAAATGCAAACTATCAAATTCCTAAAAAAAACCTTTTTAACGGATGCTTACCCTACAACTACTACAAATAGGTACTTGCTATATGTGTCAAGATGGTTTTTTTTTACTTTTGAAATTACGAAATCTCCATATTCACATTATTTCCTGATACCTTGTCGTCATTTTTTATCAGAATGATTATTCCCAAGATCTTCAAATACATAATTTACATATTCTTACTTTCTTAGATTTACGCGAATCCTTGATATTTTAAATAAAACTATCTTTTCTCCCGTGACCATGATTGCTGTAAAGCATTCGAAACATCGGGAACCAAAAAATAAAATAAATTCGCGAAAATATCCGAAAAGATAGTTTTATTTAAAATTACATATTCTTATTATATTACTGAATAAAACAAGTGTTCAGGTAGTTAAAGTCAATTTCTATAAATTATTAGAATTTCACTTTAAAATATATTAAATATAAATATTAACATGAATTATCGACTTTGTATCTCCTCAACTCTAAGACCATCTGACGATGACACGCGCCACATTTAATTAAATTCTTCTCTTGACACTTTCTAACATATGTTGCCAATTTGGCCCCTTTTGCTGACATGACATAAGCATATCAAAATTTATCTTAATACAAGGCTATAAGGTCTACAATTCTTTACAATACAACTTAAGTTTTGTTAGTTTTCGTGGCTCTTTTAATATATTTATCAAATATTACCCTTATCGTAAAGGTTTAAGGTTGATTTTTCAGCAATACTTCGATAATATTAGAAAATTCCGTAGCACGCCTGTGTTTGATGGAGTTTTCATGGTATAATTTGAAGTTTATGTTGTGTATAATTGTAGATATAGCGAATTAGGGGAGGATTTGTCAATAGTGATTAGGTATCAGTTTCCTTATGGAACAAATACTCTGGTGCCACTTTTTTATTTTATTGTATTGTGTAGTAGCTTGATTATGATAAACTTTTAATAAAAAGTTTAATACATTTAAAGTTTAGTTCTTTAAACAGATAATTGAACCCGTGACCATCCCCATAGCGGTAGATACTGTAACCACAAATACAATAAATATAGAAATTATAGAAAGAATATTTATATACTAGTCTAAATACAACTCATCTCTACGCCACTCTACGTCACATCTACGGCGTAGCATTTTCGCGATTCATTGTAAAAATATATACACCTCGAATATAGTACCTTCTTTTTTGGAGTCGATCAAAATGACGTATTACATATCATTTTTTTTCTTTAGGGTATTCTCTTAAGCTGCAACGCCATGTCTGCTGAATATCTCTTTATGACCGACAAGATCTATGACCCAAGGTTTGACACCGGCGACAAAGTGATCCAGTGCGGCCGTCACAACGATATCTTTAAACTGTGGTTGCAATGGCGTGGCAAGGTGAGATAATATGATAATTTACTAAGTAGCTTTTACGTCCGGGCCTTGCTCGCGTATTCGTATTCGTATATTAGTTCGTAACTAGTGGAAGTGTTGTTAAAATTGGTTTAGTTATTTTGAAGGTTAGCGAGTGAAAGCTAAAAAAAGTGGTTGTATGGTGACTTTGGTATGGTAGACATAACCAAATAGGTTAGATGTTATATATATTTTTTTTTTAATTTTCAAAATAAATGTATTACCTAAATATTCAATAATATTTACATGCAAAATCAATTATTTAATCTAATTAACAGGTGAAATGAATAAAACTGTACGAATTCACTATTTGATCTAACACTATCCATTTTACGAGTATAAAAAAAACATTTTTTTTACTAACAACGTTGTTCTATAGAATATTTTGCGAAATGACCCTTATCCTATTTTAGGGAACATCTGGCTTCGAACGCCTCATGGACCGTCTCATGGAACTGTCAGAGTACATGGTCCGTCGCATCCGAGAGCAAAGTGATAAGTTCTACTTGATTTTGGAACCAGAAATGGTCAATGTTAGCTTCTGGTACCTTCCAAAGCAACTGCGAGGCCTGCCCCATGACAAGAACAAGGAAATCAAACTTGGAAAGGTGATTTTATTAGTAGTACCCACTAATGTATATTTTATTATATTTAACATTTTTTTTTATATCTGTTAAAGTTATTATTTACTTTCTATTAGTTAAATATTTCAAAAATCGATTCCATACATACAAAAACCTAAAAATTTAAGCCACGGCGGGCAATCATGGAAACTATCTATCCGTACAGGAGACGATATTATGCACTATTAACAAGGAAAACGCAACGTGGTCTCTCCCTCTTCCTTTTTATGTAAAAGTCCAAGAGGACAAGTATTTAACACGGCTGGAGTACAAGTATTTAATAGGGCCGACGGCTTTACATGTTATCCAAGCTAATGAAGAGAAATACCGCCAATTTCTAAACTCTGGGCGCTACTGAGTATTACTTGTACAGAAACCCAATAACTATCCTTGGACCCAGGACTCGAACCCAGGACACGTCTGCAACAGAACATACTTACCAACGAGGCAATTACTGAATCTATCTTTCAATAATCTAATATTTTTTCCTCAAAAGGTTTGCGCTAAACTCAAGGGCCGTATGATGCAAGCCGGCACCATCATGGTCGGATACCAACCAGATGATCGCAGACCTAACTTCTTCAGAAACATTATCTCTTCTGCTGCAGTCAATGAACGAGATGTTGACTTCTTACTGTCTGAGATAGACCGTCTCGGACACGATATTATCGTAGATTAAACTTAATAAGCTCACTGTTAACATTTATGTTAACAAAATATTAATATTAGCAAATTATTTTGGTTTATGTTAAATTATTACATTTACAACATATTAAGTGTCTTTAAATTAATTTGATATGTTTTAAGTAATTGCAATTTTATAAATTACGTTTTTCTTTTTAATTTAATGTTAAAAATGAATACGGTAAAGTAGTGTGTTATTAAACTGATTTATTAGTGATATCTGAACATGTTAATCTTGATAGTAAATGTTAATGATTTGATGTTTAACATTTAATCAAACTTCCATTTTTAACATTAACATTTAACATATAGATATTTATTAGAACATTTCCTTTAAATCATGATTGTAAAAAAATCACGATCGTAGAATCTTATATAAACATATACTTAATATGAACTCTGTAACCGAACTATAGCGTCTTCCACTTGCTTAATTTTGAGAATTTTCATTATATATAAAATTTATATAGGTCTAATTAAATACAATAAAATATGAGTGTCTATTTTTATCAGACTTCAGGAGTGTGTGATGAATGAAATTGTAGAAACAATTAGAATTTTTAGAACAACTAAAATTGCTTTAAATAAATTCTAAAATGTATGAATCAACGTAAAATGAATCCGTTATCTTTGAACCAATATAAAATGCTTAGCGTTTGTAACCGTCTATTTACTACTTATTATATTAAATGTTGGTTTTTAAGTTTATATTAAATGTTATATTGACAATGAAAATTTAAACGTATAGTTTAGCGATCTATACTCAATATATGTAGATTTATTAGATTCATAAATATTTATATATATTATAACTGTTGGTGTTGTATATCTTTATATGTAATTCATATCAAAAATAAATATTATCGTTTATTATTAGAGATACGCCGAATGCTCGGTTGAATATTCGTATTCGGTATTTTCGGCGTATAATTATATGTTCGTATTTGGCCGAATATTCGGTTAATTTGCCGAATGATTGCCGAATATTTATTTAGTACTATTTTAATATTAATATGTATTAAAGACTTTGTTCTGAAAACCGTATATTACAATTTGTAAATGGGACACACTCATTTAGGCAACAATAAATTGTTTCAGAAGATTAAAAGAAAAAAATCATTAAATTCAAATTTTATAAACATATTTTACTATGCGCAAATTAATCGATCAATTTAGCCGAATATTCGATTCGGTACATTTTGGACGGAATATTCGACCGAATATTCGTATTCGGTTAAACATAGATTCGGTGCATCTCTATTAATTATAGCTTATTTATTTATAGTGTTGCCACCCTAAGTGATTAGTCATATTTAAATTACGAGATAAAATTATATTAATATAATTAATATGTGCTTAATTTTATTTTTTCTTTTATTGACTATAAGTCAGTAAAATTAAATGTTATTATATATTGCAAAATTATATTCATTTTGAATGAATGGTGTTAATGTTGGGTGAAAAAAGTGTGAACTACCTTATAAGTTCTATCGTTAGTCAAAGTATAAAATGCTTAATTATAATTAAAAAATACTTAGTGTTGCCAGAAATTTTGTTTGTTAAAATTTAAGAAAATATATATTTTATTTCAAATATTATCTTGATAACATATTATATTATGTGAATCAATAAAAACTAATTTAGGTACATAATAACTTTTATTCTAGCTTAGGATATAGGTGTGTAACTTTAAGATTTCTGATTCATATACGGACATATCTCCCGTTTTGCCAATTAAATAAATATTTTGTATTTTAAAACTCGGGGTAGTTGGTAAATGTTATAATTTAAACTATTTAAGTAATATTTTTCTTCGTTTTATACGAAGTGATTACTTGAGATATTGTTTTTTTGATCTTTAAAATTGAAATTTATATTATTTATAGGTATTTAAAATGATGCATACAATTACGTAATTAGACAACACTAAAATTTTTAATCTTCAGTTTTCATTAAATAACTTTAAAATATATTTTTTTATTACCTACTGTAAAAATTACATCTCAAGAAAATTAAGTTTATAATAACTTCTTAACGTCGTACTAAATCTAAAATAAAAAAAAAAGAAGTTTGGTGTATTAATGCAATAAATAACATCACTTTTAGATACTTGTCATAAAAAATTCAAAAATTATTCTTCTTACGGTATTTTTTTTTATTTTTTTCCATAGTCATTTACAATAACTTAATAATAAATAGAGTTTTTAATTTGTTTTTGAATCAAATAGAATAAGAAAGTAAGATAAAAGTATTTAAGAAAACTGTAAATATAAAAAAAAACGAATGTGACAATGACAATAGTAACGTAGAATAATAAAATAATTTATGGCGTCGTGATGTATGCAATGGCGTCGTTTTGCTGCTTTTAGTGTAGGAACTTATACTTTCTTAGATTTACGATTTTTTATTTTTTCGCGGATTTATTTGCTTGTTGGTTCCAGACGCTTCGAATGCTTTACAGCAGTCATGGTTACGGGAGAGAGCAGAGACTAAGGTTTTGGAGTCTCAAAGGTAATTTATATACGTACTTGTTACAGCCAGTCAGCCAGCCTACCCACAATTTCATAAATTGATTTCAAAAATGGCACCTTACAATATTTGTTACTTTTAATCCTATACAGATTTAAAATGTGTAGAATTAAAATCAACAAGTACGTAATAATTATATATGTAACAAATATATAATCACCATTGAGTCTAAAATCTTAGTCTCCCCATTGACCATGTGCACTGTAAAGCATTCAAAACGTCGGGAACCAAAAATCAAAATAAATCCGCGAAAAAATCCGAAAAAATAGTTTTATTTTAAAATGTAGAAACTAAGTTAAGGTATTTGAATGAAACTGTCTGTCAAATTATAAATTAAATTGTAAATATGTAGCGGGTATGGACTTAGTGCTGCCATATTTTCTACCAGTTTACTTTATAAATTACTATATTTTAAACAAAAATATCGTTGTTACAACGAAACTATTTGAATGTTTTACTTGTGTATTTTATTTTTTTATTGTCTGTGTAAAGCTTCAAACGTCAAATTGTCAATGTCAATATAACAATATCAAAATGTCTTCCATTTAAATAATTTAGAACATAGTATTTAGACGTGGCAACATTATTTTAAATGCAACGGAAAAAAATATTTAATTCACGATATTAATATCTTAATAAAAATATATATTAAAAATATATATTAATAAGTTATACTAGCCTGGTTTTACACATCAGTAGTTTTACCAACTCTACGTCAGGCGCCAGATTGTGAAATAGTAAATTTTGTTATTTATCTCTTAAGCATTAGATTATTCTATCTGTTGTTGCGTTTTTGTCAAAAAAAACAATAATTAGAATTATTATTATAAAATTATTAACTTTACGTACTTCGCAAGTTATAATGAAGGCGTCAACATTTCCACACCCTTACTTTACATACGACTTTGTCTCTCTAACAGGCAACAGACGACTTCTAGAGACGTGTAATGCATGTAGGTATATTGTAAAACATGGGAAAATTAAGTTTTATATACATTTTAATAATGTGGTCACGTCAAATACATAATAAAGTTATTAGATATCGTGTTTGTATGAATGTATATTAGTGTTTTAAAGTTTAGGAGTTTAGAGGTGTATCTTGGATGTCCCGATCACTTGTATTGAAGCGTTAGATTATTCTATCTGTTGTTGCTGCTGTAAAAACCTGTATAACCAAATAAATGGTATTGTTGTTAAATTGTTGTGTTCATTTATTTATTTATTTACATTCTGACGTTATTCTATTAATTATATAAACGCGTAAGTTTGTGAGGATGTTTGTTCACGCAATTACGTCTGAATGGATTTTGATGAAACTTTACAGTAATATTCATAGTTTATAGATACATCAGAGTAAGATATACGACAATAATTTATAAAGATGTATGATTAAATATAACATAATTGAATGATGCGGGCTTAGCCGCGAGGAAACGCTTGTTATAAATATTTTTTATATCCTAAGATTGAGTTTTTCTGCAAAAGAAAGTGCTTGGTGACTTCATTTAGTTGTGAGGATGTTTGTTAATCACGCCAGAACGGCTGAACGGATCTGGATAGTATTTGGCACAGATATAGATTATAGTCTGGAGTAGTACGTAGGCTGTTATGTTTTTGTCTATGAACAAACCCGAAGCGAAGTTGAGTCGCTGATTAACAATATCCAAATGATTGATCATTTACAAAGATAATTTAGTTCAAATTTATGTCAATAGATGGCATGATATGTCCGATTCGGTCAATTAGTAGTATTAGAAAAATCATGAACGAATTAACCACTGGACCAGACATATAAACGGACGTACCTTTAACGGTCATGTCAGTAACCAGGGAATTTTAGCCTAGGTCGTTTGTTTTTTGTGTCAGTCTCAAGCACTTACTTGTCAACAAAACAACTCCCAAAAATTACTAAATGTTCTGTTAAATGGTGTAAAAACTATAACGGCGGAAGCAGCACTATTTCTTTTCACTTGTAAATACATTATTTTATTACATTTATTGTTATTTATCACAAAATTTAATTAAACGTAAAATAAAATGTCATATTATCCAACTATGTTAAATATAGTCGATATTTCTATGTATTGTTGACATCTGACAACCATCATAAACGGGCTGGATTATATCATTCAGAACAAATGACAAAACTGTCGAGGGAGTCCATTTGACATTGACTAGTGCTTGACAATGTTGAAAAATATATCGATATTTGACGAAATAACTGAACGAATTGTGTTATTTGTACAGTACAATAACATAAAATACTTTTATCACAGTATCCTACAATCTGATGACAATAAATTTATAAAAATATTTTCTAAATCAAATAAAAATATAAATGCAAAAATTATAATTAGTATGTGTACTTAATTTTTTATTTTATTTTATACCACATTTATATACTTTGGAATATTATTCCATTGTAATAATAATAAAGATCATTTTATTTCAACACATAAATTA